TTATTTTAAACGAGATACTAGTGCGAAAGAATCTTTTATAAACGATTTTGAATTGTTGTCACAAAATTTTAATTGCTCTGCTAAATATTTGGATAAACGGTAACATGGTGCATTACAAGTAGAAATGATAGATCTTAATGGATAATTCGATTTGTGTATCTTCACCGTATAGTATGAACATGGTATCGTACATCCACTAAAAGTTATATTTGTACATTAAACTCTATTGAAAAATAAAAATGTGAGATGCACGCTGGAAAATTTGGTGATCAAAAAAATTGATACCCACAAAAATATAAATTAAGAGATTGCGGTTTGTGTGTCTGAACGTTCTTAATCCAGCCACATTAGTGGCTCGTATGTCGGATGCTATTTGACCGATTTGCACCTCATAGTTAGCTCAAATGATATAATGGCTAGCTCTGACGAGGAATCACTCTATGCGAGTATACTAGTTGAAGAAGTGATAAAAATAGCAGTCAACCAAATATGGGATCAGAATAAAAAGAAGTTTATAAAAATAACTAAAATAGACCTTTTTATTCTATTCAACTTAGCTACGCGTAATGTTCAATTTTGTTTCAATTATAAAATTTACCGGCAAGAAGATGGAGTGTCAATGGGTAGTCCATTAGCATCTAGTTTAGCGAATCTGTTCATGGAGAACCCAGAAAACAAACATATTTTAACATCAGAAAATGAAAAAAGAGTAAAAATGTGGATAAGATATGTTGGTGATATTCCAGTTCTAATTAACGGTACCACTTATGATGTTTTTGAATTATTAGACGACAACATCAACAAAATCCATCCGAACATAAAATTTACACTAGAAATAGAACAAGATAATAAATTAACCTTTTTAGATGTTTTGATCAAGAAACATTCGGATCATCTTGAAACAACAGTATATAGGAAGAAAACATACACTAATCTATACATCAAATGGGATTCCGGGTCACCGAGATATTAAAAGGTTGCTTTAATAAAATGTCCGGTTATTCGAGCAATTAGAATATGCTCACAAAAGAGTTTATTAGATAGTGAAATTTCTTGGCTTAAAACCATTCTTAGTGCGAACGGTTATCCAGCTAATTGGTTATTCAATTATTATTGGTCGATTCAAACTTTTATTTTCGAACTTTTGGGGATGGAACATGTTTGGCGGAGACTTGTTTTATGACTTATATGGAGTCTCTGCTCATCGCCAAAATTTTTCGCGTCCACTCCTAAATAATGACAGTAATTTTGTCCTCGTTTCAAAATAGAAAAAACTACTGATCTGCCGTTTTCAGCAGTGTTTAGAGTATCATCTTTTGTCTGTGTGTATAGAATTTCAACCTAAATTAGTCTGTCCTTTAGTTTGTATTGAAACACTAGTAAACGAAGAACAATTTTCGAACAGGACAAAATTGAGCGTCTATTTTCAAAATCTAACAATTTTTGACGCATGTGTGTCCAGGGTTACAGTTCTGTTCATGTTAATTTTGGTATTGAGATAATCTCGAGGATTTTTCTCAAAAAAAGTTTTAACACCTTTAAGTTAAGGTGAGACAATGACTACTTTTTTTCGATAATTAAATTCTTGTTCTAACAAGAGCAGTAATAAATACGAAATAAAAATGTGATACAATATTAAGTATGACTGTTTGTTCAGCTTTTCAATTTAAAAACTGAATATAAATCTCGAAGTGGTTTCGGCATCATTTGTGGCTCAGTCAGAAAATATTTAAATCTAATCATTCGATTATAAAGTGCCATAGCCATTAATAATATTGTTAAAATCTTGTACGCATCCGACTTGATCTCTGTAAACATGTAATAGTAACCAGCTGAATGTGCTACAATATCACTCACTGTTTCGACCACTTCTTTTCCACATTGTTTTATATCAAAACGATTCTTAGTAAATTCGACGCATGACCATAAGAAAATATTACACAAATTTGCAACTGATTTATCATCGGGTTTGGGTGGATTCAGTTTTAAATTTAAATAATAATAAACGTGTCCAATAAACATTACAATCCAGTTGATATAAATTAGAAACCCAAAAGCATTATTTAGTAATAACTTATGATGAAAACACAGATTGAATAAATGTGTTAATGCATCAAGTAGAAAATAGGTTGTTTGACGTCTTAAAAAGCCTATTTTTGAATTTTTAACTCCGATTAACACCAAAAAATGAGATATAGCCATAAATAGTTCAAATGATGTCCATAATACTTTTAATTCTTCGGATGCAATCATCTTGATGTTGATCAGCGAGTGTAGGAGATAATTCAGATCTCTACTCCTGACTTTTTATTCTCTTCTTTGAATGTTCTATTCTTATGATATTTGATTTGCGTCACCATCATGCGAAGAAATGATATTGTTAAAACCAGAGATGTTCTTATCAAACACGCTGAGTATACAAAAGCGACAGGCGCGCACATGTTTAGTCAGAAATTATCGGTACATAAGTGCATTAAAAAGACATTTGCGTCAGAGATTGTTAAGCACGTGCAAACTAAGCATACATGCATATCGAAAAATGTCAGCGTGTTTCATTCAGAATGGTAGAAGGTATCCAATGATCTGTTTTTCAGTCAAATAATCTATGTCTTGACGTTAAACTAGTTGTTTATTGGAACGTCTTTGTTGTTTGAATTAAGGAATAGATATTAATTAATATTGAGGTTTTTAGTTATCGGGGTTGTTTACTATTCCTTATTAAGATATCAAATACGCTGAGTATACAAAAGCGACAGGCGCGCACATGTTTAGTCAAAAATTATCGGTACATAAGTGCATTAAAAAGACATTTGCGTCAGAGATTGTTAAGTACATGCAAACTAAGCATACATGCATATCGGAAACCAGTGGGAAATTTTAGTTTGAGGTATGAAAATGACCACAATAAGAATTTCAGTATAGTAACGAATATATTACTCTTGATGTTAAAAACACATATAGTTTGCTTCAACTAAATACAAGAGATGTATATTGTTAAAACCAGAGATATTCTTATCAAATACGCTGGGTATATAAAAGCGACAGGTGCGCACATGTTTAGTCAAAAATTATCGATACATAAGTGCATTAAAAAGACATGTGCGTTAGAGATTTATCAGTTTTAAAATTCCATGCTAGTTGTACTAACTAAAGAAAACGAAAAATGTCAGCATGTTTCATTCAGAATGGTAGAAGGTACCCAATGATCTGTTTTTCAGTCAAATAATCTATGTCTTGACGTTAAACTAGTTGTTTATTGGAACGTCTTTGTTTTTTGAATTAAGGAATAGATGTTAATTAATATTGAGGTTTTTAGTTATCCGGGTTGTTTACTATCCCTTATTAAGATAGTTGATCAGCTTGAAGGTTTGACAGACTTGACTTTTAACAAGCATGCGTCGAATGTGTCGATCAAGCTTTGCTTCTTCTGTTCCTGGAGCTTTTTTGTTACTCATAGAAGATTTTGAATAATATGAAAGCTTAATTTTCCTTCTAAAGCGATAAGCTTACTTCTATCATTAAAAAAAGTTAAGATTTAACTGTACAAAGAATGATTTTTCTTGAGATTTTTTCTAAAGATTTTCACATATGTGAGGATTCAGCGCATCAATATCAGCTTCTGACTGACAACGGAAGATGTTTTTGTTTATTCTGTCAGATGTATGCGTACGCACCATGATTCTTCCACTTGATTTGATAATCATGGAATGGAAATTGATCTGTAAGCAATAACGGTGATGCATTAAGAAAGTTTTCACATCAGCAAAAAATAAATGAAAGTCAGATCTGGTCACCTGGTAAATGGATGACTGGAAAGAACTTAAATCTGTCCTAAATACTACAAACATTCTACGGGTTAATCATAATTATCCTACACGTTTTTAGAGCTTCTTTCTTCTTCTGGTTTACGCTAATAACTAAACAACTGATAAAATGTTTTTAAAAACAGTTAGTCACCTTTTGAGGTGGAGCGACTTTTTTCTTCATAATAAAATCAATAACGAAGATATGCAAAAAATGCCGTTTAAATGTGTTTTTTGGTGGAATTTAATCTGAGGATCTCGATTATGCGTATGTATCGAATTTTTATTCGAAGTAACCGATTGCCGAAAAGTGCGTTGCGTTAAAACTGGCTATTTGATTCAACATGTCAAACTTGAAATCACTACTCTTTCTTCGAGGAAATCAACTATTTACGATTACCAACCAAAAAAATGACATATATTTTACACTATCTACGATGTTATTTAAATAAAGGACAATTTCTACTGATAATTGGCCGTAAGATAACCTGAGCGTCGTTAAATACATATACGATGACAGTCTGCTGTAAGAATTTGACTAAGTCTAAGTCTTCAAAAGTAGACTAATCTTTTATCTCTATATGTCCCATTTAATTCTTTCAAAATAATGAAAATGAACTATATGCAAATTTTTTATGATAATACCAAGCCCTTAAAAACAGCTATTTCAACAGAACAGGTGCTTGTCATACCATAAAGGTAGACAAAAAAAGGAAGAGAAAAGTGTTTCTTTCTTGAACGTTAGTATAATGAAAATTTTCTCTATTCCATTTTCATAGTAAGACTTTTAAGATTAAAAGCATATAGAATTAACCATTTGATTCGTATAACAAAGACAAAGTGTTTGAGAATGGGTTATCTAGGTGAATTAGTTTACAATTTCTTTTAAGACTAAATGGAGACTGCCTGGAAATGTGGAAGAAGAAAACGTTGACAATAGAAGAATAAAAAACCATCACAAAGGTAGAAAAGAAGTACGCGTCTCATGCGTATCATAAATTTCAGACTTGCCTGTCTTTCGATACATAGGTAATGCTTACATCACTTTTAGAATCCTCTGAACACGAAGCAGTTATAGACTGAAAAGGTGACGAAATAAATTTATTGTATCAGAACCGGGAAAGCAGCGGTTTGAATACTAAAACAATTTTTAGAAGACTGGAAACTTAGTGTCAAAAGAGATCATCTTTTTGACATCTTGGAAGGAAGAAACCTTGTGGATGATATGAACGTTGAATAGTCATTTTCTTTTTTTCCGTGTTCGCACTGATTAACTAAAATGATTAAAGGTTGTCTTACAATTTTGTTTGTGCTCACCTGGATATCCATAAGTGTTTGAAGGAGAACATTCAGACTTTTTCTGACAATTTTAATGTTTTTTCTTCTATATTCGCATTCTATATTCATTTGTATAATACATGGTGTTTCCATTTCAGAAACCTCAATTTCATAGGACACGTTGTTCTCTATGAAAATCAAGGTATGTAGAGTATCGTTTAAAATAAATTTTGTTAAAAGATAAGCTAAAAGATGTTAAATCATCTACTAATCGTTGTTTTTCTTTAAATTTTTTAACTTTTGTTTCATTTATTTAATACTGTTCATGATCTCGTGGCATACATGATTGTTTCATGTAAAGGTATTTTTTTTTCATTTTTTCACTCAACACGGGTAACATTTGTATGGGTTGTCAAAGTTATATATATATATACGTTACATACTATTATGTACTATCGAATGATTTGAATAAAAAAATGTTTTAGCTTTTTTTTCAAAACGAAAAATTTATTTTTTCTCTCCCGTTTCTTTGCCGGATTTCTCTGTGTGTGAACTCACTTCAACAAACAACACGGCGCCGCCCTACTTTTTATTTTTTTCGTATTTTAATCGTTTTTCTCCTTGCTCTTCCATAATCCCATGTCTGTAATACCGCTGACCAACACATCCCAGCGAAAAAAAGAAGAAAAGAAACACGAACGAACAAAAACGTTGGTACCACCAACTGTCGCATGCATTATCATCACTGACCAAGATATATATATATATATATAACCTATTAACGAACAAGTAGTTTTTGATGTAATTGAACGAAAGAGAGGGAGAGAGGAAAATAGAAAGAAAAGAAAAAAACACTCGAAATGTTATCAATATATACAGAAATGCCGATATATATGCGCAACACAATATGGAACCATACCGTTTACACTACGCGCGTTGACAATAAAATTCAATTTTTTTTATAATGTCGCATTAGATAGGAATGTTGGATACTGCAAAAGAAATTTCAGCTGATATATTGGTAAGCCAAAGATTGAGAAAAAATTTCATGAATAAATCTATTAGAAATAGTAAATATTTTATTTTGGTCTAATTATTAAAAAAATAAAATCCTCGTCTTTAAAAGTCATGTCACTACTAAAATCATGGCCGTAGACTTTACATCATCATCATCATCATTTGGTACGCATTTTTCCATTTACATCGTCGACTTTCTTTTAATTAAATAAAATTAAGTTTTTCAATAAGCATTGTTCCATATCTCACATAACACGAAAAGAGTGAGTTCTAAATACACATTACCGACTAAGAAATTTAAAGAATATACCGTAACAATAAGTCATGTAAATCGAAGCATTCAAGTATTTATTTTCGCACTATAGAGTGCAAATGAAAGTTTTCAAAACAAAGTAAAAATTGTTTGCTGACAAAGATATTCCGTTATCTGAATTGATAATTTCTCGAATCGCATTTGAAAATAATTGAAAATCTCATTGATTTGCAAATTTCTAATCTGTTATATATCATTTGAACATTGTTCCGATGTGATAGAAAAAATATATTAAGTATAACTTATGTATTTCTGTATAAGCGTCATAAATCAGCTGTTTTGTTAATGTTTTAAGTGTATGGTGATTATATAGAATTCAAAAAACCTACGCATTTTTTTGTTTGATTTTTTAATGTTTGATGCACAATATTTCCAGGCTTTCTCTTCTGGTATTTGCTTTCTTTCCATTTTTTAAAAAAATAAAATTCTGGCCGATGATCACGAAAAAAGAAACATTAACAAGAAAAGAACATACCCTAGACATTTTTTTTTAAAAAAAAATATATATTGTACTTTTTGGTCACTCAAATTTCTTTTGTCAATTCTTAAGGTACAACAAGAGAGAAATGGCGCTGTATCATATGTGTTTGTATTTTATACATATATACCAACACTTAAAGTGGAGAGAGAGAGAGATAATGAAGGAGAAAAATACAGGCACACTTTACTGTGCTTTTGCTTCTTCTTCTTCTTCTCTTATATTTTGAGATGATTCCAGATAGAATAGAGAGATAAAAATAGTTTTAATCCTCGCTTTTAGCCGCAATGATCATTATCATTATCATTGTTATAAAAAAAAATTGATTCTTAAATATCTATCGTGTATTTGTCTCAGTGATCGTTTAGATTAAGAGTGAGAGAAAGAATAGAAAAACAATTTTTCTACATATTTTCCTTCTTGTTTGTGACAATAAAATATGTATATTGGATTATATATTAGCATCAGCTGCAACAATAGTATAGAATAATAATATCAAGGATCAGTTTTTTTGGAATGTGTGATGGTATGTGTCTAATTCAAGGTGAAAAATAGAGAAAGACAGAGAAGGCTTAGGTTTTTTGCTCAAACCATTTTGTCTTTCAAACCACAAGGTAAAATTATCAATATTTTACGAACAAAGAATCTCAAATCTAATCAGTTGCTCTATTGATAAAGTTAAAGAATATCTTCTATTGTTTCAATCGTGTCTACGTATTATAAACAATATTTTCAGGGACTAAGCACTGGCTTCATAAATATATTTATTCTCTCATGTCGAATAATGTTTGATAGGGTTTTGTTCATTCCATTACGTGCAGTTGTTTTTTTATTGTCTTTCTAATCCGTCTTATTTTAATATTATCTTGTGACATAAACCTTATTCAATGATTTCTATTTCATTTCTTCTCTTCATTAATTATTCAATTTTCAATTTTAGAATTCCTGTATCATAGAATAAACGATGACTTCAAATAAAGCAAAACGTTATTTACAAAATAAAATTGCCATTGAACAGCATACATTTTTATCGCCGCCACTGTCAACAACACATCAAGATGTTGAACAACAAAAAAGATCATATAAATTTACAAGTCGTCGAACATCATATCAAAAACAGGATTTGATACCACCAATTATTTGTGTTGATAAATCAACAGATAATGAGCAAGAAGATGATGATGATGATGTTGACGATGTAGATGATGCAAATAGTATCTTAGATGAATTTGATCGTGTTTTAGATAATGAATTAATTATGCCAACGTCAAATGTTCATCGTACATTTTCATTGAAACAACAATCACAAGAACATCTTGCTATTTTAAATCAGCCTAGAAGTTTTTCATTTGCTCTTGGCTCATCGACAACAAATTTAGATGATTCTTCTTCATCATCTTCTTCTACCGCCTCCTCGACCTCATCTCCTGTAAAATTAAACCTTCCATCACAAGCAGAACGTTCTAACAGTGGAAAAACAAGTTTATCAAAAGAAACATTTTCACGTTTATTAGCCTCATTAGCGTTTCGTCAAACAAAACGACCGTCAATTAATCGAACAGTACAAACGTCTCAGACATGTCTATCGTGTCAAAATCAAACATATTTACAATTACAACCAAAACATAAAAAACGGCCATCGATATTTGGTGTTCTCGTAGCGAAATTGTCGGCAAATACTGATACGTCTACATCTGATTCACCAACCTCGAAGCATTGTCATTTATGTAAAAAAGGTTTAACAAAATCAATATTTTATAATCAAGTTTTAAGCGATGATCAACATTCAATGTCAACATCATCGGTTGAACAACAACCGCAAAAACCAGATATTGAATCTTCTTCACCCACTGTCGATATTAATAAAAATTATTCATCATCATCGTTATCGAAAAAAAGTCGTCTTAATCTAAATACTCGAACAAAACGTCGTCGTAGTTTACCATCATTATTTCATAGTCTATTCGATTCTGATTCACTTGAAAATAAATCGACTCGTCTTATTATTGATTCATCATCATCGTCACAACGTCTATCTCATCATCATCAACAACAATTACCATCATTTTCAAGTATACTAACAAATAGTTTACTCGATAGTATAGCACGTGATACAACAACAAACCGTCCATTAACCAAAGTACGAAGTACTAATTTATTAAATCAAAAAATAACCATTACAACAGCTCATTCTTCCTCTTCATCAATATCGAGTATTTCAAGTATAAATGATGATGATAATGACGCTAATGTCACAACAGAATTAAAACATCATATCACAAAAAATGATAATCAAGCTACAGATTTACAGGTATGTAAAAGATATTTTTTTTATTGTTCAAATATCTCACTTTTATCTAAGATAATACTCTTCCAATACGTTATTATGTCACTTAATCTTTATCCTTTTTTTAAAAAAATTAGATAAAAGCTAAAAAAACATCGAAATATAGAAAACTTGTACATTAGTTATACGATCTCAATAATCGAATGAGTTTTTTAATTTGAGATTGACATTGTTTGTATATCATCATGATAATGATAATAGCAATAATAGTTTAAGTGTACATATGACCGGCTTGACCATGTTTTACCTACTAAATATGTACATATATGTATATATATATATAAGAACAAAGTCGTGCGCCTTTAGGCTTTGTTTACTCGCGTCTGTATCATTTTGAGTCTAAAATATAATGATGGTGAAGGTTAAGTGTTAATACATTGTTGCTGTTGTTGTTGACCTTGATTTTATTTTGCTATATATCTTTGAGGATTAACACTCAAGACAAGAAAAATACTACATCAGGACAATGATCGTGCTTCTCACTATGAGTAGTTAATAAATATTTGACATATACAAGTCAATAATTGTTTCAAATAAATCATTATTTTCATTTATACATACTCATAACGATGTATTGATATTAGATAGATGACTTTGTTTAATAGACTTTTGTATATAGTTATCCAGTCATTAGGTAGCCAAGTGATTCTTTGACGGTATTAAACAATTATTTATTCTATAAATTTTGAACATTCTTTGTAGAACAACGATCAATGAATTGTAAAACAAGAATAGATGTAAAATTATATATGGTAATGGAATGGATCACTTTATTCCCGTTCGTAATACGTATGACATAGATAGAAATTTAACTATAGCACTAAAGGACGCTTGAAACCAAGTTAGATCCATGAATATCCGAATGATAGTTTGAAATAGACGATTAGATCGGTTTTGAGGTATTAATTATAATTAGTATACGAGAATTTTATTCCTAATTGTTAAAAAGGTTTCGTCTCAAACAGTAAAAAAACGTCTCTAGGAAAGCGTTTGAAGGACCTTTGAAGAATTCATACAAGTGACATTGTTATCTTCATATCTCTGTATAGACTGCCATTGTACACTATATATTCACATTTGGAGTATGTATACTTGAGTAGATGTTTATTATTATTCTATATATTCTCTTCACAAATCGTGCAGACAATTTTACGTTTCAATGTCAGACATGATTAAAGTTAATCAAGATTTATTTTCTTCACACACACACACACACACACACACACACACATATTTAAATATAACTGTTGTTTTTTGTGTCTAACTAAACAGAACATAATATTCTATTCTTTTCTCATCATCAGTTATATACAGCAAACATAAAATGCTTTACTCTCGTATTACGATTGTTTTATTGACAAGAACATTTTAAACAGAATAAAACAAAAAAATCACGTTAATGATAATGACTAAGAGCTCATATGGGCTGACCTTTTTTCTCTCTATTGTTCAAATTGGCAATAATAAATAATGTAAGAAGTGTCTGCAACTATATAAGATATTTTTACGTGCTCTCTCTCATTCAAAAAAAAGAAAATACTATAGGTCAATTAGTAGACTATTGTACAAAGAGAACATATTGCTAACGTAAATGTAAGACATTAATAACTAGTTCCTGAAAATATCTATTCATGTAAATGAGTATCTCCAGATTCTTTTGTGACATTAAAAAGTGTTTAACAGACTAGTATAACTACTTTAAAGATCAAGATCAGTTCTCATTTACTTGAGTATATGGCCATCGTACGTTAGAAAGTATTAGTATTTTTCCGTTAAAGTCTGCTAGATTAACTATAGTATCACGATCATTGACGCAATCACTGGGAAAACGTCATTTTGTTTTATGTATAACTATAGTTAAAGTTAAGGGAACGAACAATGAACTTATAAAAACAGTTAGACGTATATATATATACTGAGTCTGCTGTTTAATTTCAATGAATATTTATTACATTTCAATTAAAATCAAAGAAAAACGTCTACTTGATCATAACCTCTTTTCTTTTTTCAAAGCAGAACACATAGAGCTGCTACTATAGTCTTAAAAGAAGAAAAGAAATCATGTGTCCTTCAACTCACTCTCTTGACTTGTTTGTCTATATATATATAGACTATATACGTATGTACAAAAGATAAAAAGTGTTTTGGTTCAACTATCAATTTTCAAGCTTTAACTGATTGTATATACATGCCAATAACGATTTTTATGAGACAGAGACAAAAGAAAGAAGAATTTTAATCAGTTAGTCAGAGAACAAATAAATGAGCTTGATTGAACGATATATATGTTTGCAACTGTACATTTTATTTCTAGAGATTTAGTCAAAAAATTGTTTAGATTTTCATAGATATTTTTTTGTTTTCCTCGGCTATTAATTTGATTATTTTTAGAATTAGTTTTACATAAATTTTTTTAACCGATATATATCACTCGGAGAGACAAAATATGTTGACGTCATTTATGTAAATTAAATTTATCTGATGATAGACATCGTCGATAATTGATTTGCTTTTTTTCTAAAAATGACGTATTCAGACAAATATAATATAATGTGATTTAGTGAAATATAAGAAATAACGTTAACAGTGGTGACTCATTGATTGTCACAAAATAGTTATATAATAAACACAAATAATGAAATTAGCATTTTTACTAAAAATATGAAAAACAACGAACAACTGACAAATCTGGAAATATAGTCAGAATACTTACCATTTGTATGTTCCAATTTACCAAAATGTCTATTTTCAGGATCTATATCAAGTTTACTACAAAATCGATACCTCTTCGTTTTCGATAAGATTCTGACAAAACAAGTCTTTCGAAAAGCTGCACTTTTTAAAGTCAATACGTGAAGTTTCATTAACGAATTATACACAATCTGTTAGTTCACGTCATATTATAGGTTCCCTGGTCTAACTTAATTTAAAGTAAACCTTATGTTTGTAACTGTCAATACTTGGATTACGATACGACACTAAATATGCTGTTGTGACCCTAACGATACATTTTCAGGCTTAACTTTTTTAGTCTTAAACGTTTTTCATGTATCTTAAAAGTTTACTTAGGATTAGATATACGATGTAAAATGAAGCGTTCTGAGAGCCGATGCTCTTCACAAAAGTCGATATCATTCCAGCTTTGCAGAGATGCACAAGGCACGACTTTTTGTACCTGAGGACTGTAGCTCTCTATTTTACCTATCTTCAGACTAGGTACGAGTATGAGTCGATTGGACATTCACGGGGCTATTCGTATTTTGAGTGCATATTTCTATAAAATAGTCGTTATTAATGAAATTCGTTAGCTAATGGACAATTTTTCGAAAATAAAAATCAGAATTTGAACTTTGTGAACGATTAAGAGATGAATGAACTAACATTGAAACAACATTCAGCTGGTATTGCAAAGTCACTTCTGCTCCTTGTCTTTCACTATAATTGATACGAAGGACCATTTAACGTCTTTAACAATCAAAAACAAGTGAAATATTAATAAATAAATCAATAAAAGATATAAAATCCTTGTAGATTAAGAAGAAAAGGAGTGTGAATAGATTTGTCATTTCCTCGATGTGTATATAGACAAATGTCATCTTGATACACACACATAACAAACATAACTTGATGCATATGTGTGTGTGTGTGTGATATATACGATTCCAAAGAAAAAGATTGTCACTTTATACGTTGGCACTTCTTCCTATTCACTGTAATATTACGCGAAAAATCCGCAAATTAAGACGTACCTTACGCTAAAAAGTGTTAGTTTAAGTTTTTCGTGAAAAGATTTTTTTTCCTTCTCGTTTCGTAATAAAACACATATGGAATCGATCGTCACATTTTTTGATACTGTGACAACAATATTACAGAAGGCAATAATCAACAGTAGAAACGAACTTTGTTATTGTGGATTTAGTGTAGATTGAAGGATCGAAAAGTGTGAAACGATACATCATCGATGTTAAGCATTCTTTCCATTTAGTAGCTTCTTGTCTTTCATAGTTCTTCTTAGTTTTGAAGCTGTTTTTTCTCGGATAATATGTAGCTAAGTTATTTTCAATGAAGGTAGATTATTTCTTAATATGTAAGAAAGAAAATGGCTTTTGTACGATATAAAACTTCCATCGTTTTGTAATAAGAGAATGCCTGCTAAATTTCTTATATTAGATTTTACTGATTGACTACTAATGAGCTTAGTGATCAACCTAAATCACTTTTCTGTTAATGTATTATTTTACAAAGTAAGTAAATACATAGATTTAAATTAAGTTTCGTAGCTTCTTCTCTCATTCATATATTAAGCTAATGTAAACTTTAAAAAATTGTTTTTCAATCATTTTGTGTTAAGTGCGTAAATTTAAAAGATATTATGTATTTATTTAAAACTAACATAGTTGATGTTCAAAAGACAAAACACTATTTGTTTCTGATAATTATTTTTATAATGTTAAAAAAATATCTTCTCTCGTATACTTGATTGGTGGTGTGGTGACATACACAATGTTATTGACCTTACAATTGAATTAAAGCCCTAGTAATCTTCATCACACACACACACACCTCGTTCAGAAACCATTAAGTGTATATGATATGTTGTTTTTTTTGGAGATTCAAATACACAAATCATGAAATTTATATTAGTTTCTTATTTTAACTATGAAAATGATGCTTAAGGGCAGCAAATTCGAGTCAACATAAATAGAACTGGTACAATGGCAATAACGAGCAGTTTTTTTCTGAATAATTCGTATTATTTATCTCGTACAAAAAGTACCACAAAGCTTTCGGATATAAATATATGAGTTGTATATCGTCTAAAAATGTGACCTTTTCGGATGGTTTTTGTACTAGTCTATTTCTGACATCCAATGTTTTAAATTACCTAATCGTATGAAAGTTACTATGTATCTCTAGAGCTAAAACAACTAAATAATAAACATTTAAACCTGCTCACAAGAACAAAATAGAGATAAACATTCGGTACATCATAAAATTATCTCACACTGATCGGCCTATTATGTTTAAGATTTTTGTCACACATTTTCGATTCCACACTTTGTTCTACTTAAAACTTTTTACAGTATAAAAAAAACATATAATTAAGGTATAGAGTTTAGCTCAATTTTCTTCCTAACAACGAAAAACAGCATATTTATTAATGGGATAAAAAGTGTGTGACTAATTTGAACATTGATGTCATACTGAAATGAAAGATTGTGCAGTGTATTTTGATGAGAGAATGAGAGCTACTAAAATGATTGTCATTCAAACATTTGTACCATACTGATCTCTATGGTTTTAAGAGCGGAAAAGCATTTTTGGGACATTCTCAGTTACACAAATCTTTCGTGCAGGATGGGTTATAATCCATTTATTTTTCTGTTTATCTTATAGATGAGTCTGAACGGTGGTCAAAATATTAACAACGAAATGAACAATCAGCGAGTAGAAGAAAAGAAAGGTAAATTGAAAAATGTATGATAATCTCCATTGTGTATGGATTATACTTTTAGGCGAACTGGGATTAGTTAAAGTCAAAACTCCCGAACAAGTAGAGGCGGCTACAATGGCTGAATTAAATGCAGTCAATTCTCAAATGTCAATCGGCAATGATGGATTATTATCTCTACCTGAGTATGTCTTCAACGCTTAATTTTGAAATTTTAGCCTGAGTGGGAAAGGTCCGCAACGTTAGATACTTTTTTCCGAGATATCGTTAACATCCATGGTCAAGTAAAATAATAATCAAGTGTAAGAAGTAACTAAAAATGAGAAATAGCGCCATCTGTCGAGTTCAAATAGTAATGACACAATTTGACAATATGACGCTATTAGAGGAGATCTTAAAGTTACGAAAATATATTCATATCTGTAGACCTTCGTAATGTTTCTGTAACTTGCTTGAGGTATTGACTGAAATGTGCATCGCATGTGAAAGTTTCTGAATTGGGTGCTTCGACACAGATCCACCCACTTTATACAGAGCATCTTGCCGCGAAATTTCACTTTGCGCATCGTGTACAGCATCAAAAATAATCTAAAGGTCTCGCTTACCCTTTTTGAAAAGCCTGTGGAAAGTGGTTTTCTAGACACCTCAAGTTTTTGGTGAGGGGAGACCGAAGTCGGTGAAAATGAACGAAACATTGCATAATTATACATCAAATTGTAGCTCTTGACGAGTTGATTCTAATGGTGAAGGAATTCGGTCTCGATCTAACTTTACATTCGAGTGATACTCAATT